GGGGGAAAGGGGTGATGCGTATGGGGGAAGGCAATTGTTGGGATGAGCACTGGGTGTTATATGGAAACCAACTTGATGATAAACTGTATTAAAAAAAGGGGGGGGGTTCCTGGGTGGCTCAGTCGGTTAAGCATCTGACTTCAGCTCAGCTCATGATCTCATGGTTTGTGGGTTCGAGCCCCGCGTCGGGCTCTGTGTTGACAGCTCAGAGCCTGGAGTCTGTCTCCAGATTCTGTATCTCCCTCTCTCTCTGACCCTCCCTCACAGCTGTCTCTCTCTCTCTCAAATAAATAAATAAATAAATAAATAAAATAAAAATAAAACATTAGAAAAAAGATATACTACTTTAGAAGTATGTTGGGGGCTTATAAAATTCTACCTTAGGTGATTAAGGAAAGCCAGGACATACTTTTTTTAATTTTCATGTTTATTTTTAAGAGATAGAAAATAATGAGCAGGGGAAGGGCAGAGTGAGGGAGACACAAAATCTAAAGCAGACTCCAGGCTCTCAACTGTCAGCACAGAGCCCAATGTGGGGCTCAAACCCACAAACCATGAGATCATGACCTGGACCAAAGTCAGGCACTTAATGAAATGAGCCACCCAGTCACCTCAGGACATACTCTCCTTAATTGATTGTTGGGACCCAAGAAATTCACCTTAGGCAACTGTGGGAGGGCCAGGAAAATATAGCTTAAGATGCTACCAGGGTGCCAGAAATATTGACCTTAGGTAGTCATGGGTGCCCAGGAAACTCAACTCAGCCTTAATTCTTTGAGGCACACAGGATAAACCTTTGTGATTTTGAGATTGCCTCAAATTCTACTTTCAGAAATATGGAGGGCCCTGGAAACTATACCTTAGGTGTTTAGGGGCACCAGGAATGTGTGCCTTATGTAATTAGAGGAGCCCAGGAAACTCTCAATTAGAGAATTGTGGATGCCAGGAAAACACATCTTAGTTCATTATGAGTGGAAGCTATGAATGTCTCCCCTAGTGATTTGCGGGCCAGAAGTGTTCTCCCTTGGGTGATCTGGGGGACCTAGGACACATACCCTTAGTTGACTAAGCATGGAGGATCCTGGGCTCCCATAATCACCTCAGACAGATATCGTGAGCCTTGAGCCTTCCATAATCAACTAAGATAAAGTATCATGGACCCCCGAGATTACCCAAGGCAGAATTTCCTGGGGCCCCAAATCACTAGGGGATATATTCCTAGCCCACACATACAATCAACTATGGTATTGCTTCCGGAACACCACAATCCTCTAAGGTAGAAATATGGGCAACCCAAAAACCCCTAAGATCCAGTTTTCTGGTCTCCTCAAGTCATCTTAGATACAAATTCTAGGCTCTGCAATCACCTAGAATTTCCAGGGCCCTCAATATTTTCCAAATGTAAAAATCACTAAAGCTTAGTGTCTCATTCAGACACATAAGGTCAGGTTTTCAGGGCCCACATTGTTATCTAGGGCACATGATACTGGCCCTACACAATCTTCTCAGGTGTACTATCCTGGCCCCTCAAATTTCACTGAGGTAGATTTTGCCAGTTCCCACAGACACATAAGGTACATCTTCCTGTGCCCCACACTCACAAAAGCTAGACTTTCCTGGGCCCCCACATTCACCTACAGAAGATTCCTGGGACCACACAATCACATAAAGGTTTCCATTAATGTTTCCCATCATTGTCTAAGGTAATATTTCCTGGGCATCCAGAATCACCTGAGGTAAGTTACCTGGAAACCCAAATCAACCTAGGGAGTGTTTCTGGACCTCTACCATCACCTCAGCTAGACTTTATGGGACCCTTTGCAATCATCCAAGCTGTATTTTCCTGGGTCCCCCACAATCACTGAAGCCAGAGTTTGTTTGACCCCCTTTAATCACTTAAGGTTATAATCATTCATCCCAAAAATCATCCAAGCTCTAGTTTCCTGAGTTCCAGGACACCTAATGTAGAGATCTATGAACAATCACAACCACCTAAGTAGAGAATCCTAGGCTCCCACTATCACCAAAATCACAGTAACCTTGATATCCACAATCACCTAAGAAAACGTACCCTGGCCCCATCATCACCAAGTGGTAGAGTTCATGGACTCAACCCTCCCCACAGTTACCGAATGTAGAGTTCATGGGTAGCACAATCAGCTAAGGAGAGTTTCCTGAGTACTTACAATCATAGAAGGCATTGTTTCCTGACCCCAACAGTCAGAAAATGTAGAGATAGCTGTCCCTTACCCAACCATCCCCCACCCTTGACAATCACCTAAGATCAAGTTTCAGGAGACTCCACCATCACCTAAAGTAGATGGTTTATGCATCAACAATTATCTGAGATTGTGTTTCCCTGATGGCCAATATCAACCAACAGAGATCTTGGGGCACCCCAAATTTCCTAACAGTGTTCAGATCCCAAAGTGGGGCTTGTGTTCACCTGAAGTGGGGCTGGAGCTCACTCAAAGCAGGACTCAAATTCACAAACCATGAAACCATGACCTAAGGTGAAGTCAGATGCTTAACTGGCTGAGCCTCCCAGCCTCCCTACCTTCCATTGTTAAAGACATTGTTAAAAAAAAAAAAAAAAAAAAAAAAAAGACATTGTTCCATTGTTCTCTTAGCTTCCAATGTTGATTCCTGATCCTTTTTTTTTTTTTTCCCAGTCTGTTTTCTCTCCAGAAGCCTGTAGGATTTTCTCTTTGACCCCAGTAGTATGATACATACTATTCATCCATTGTGCTAGGCATTTAGGTGAGCCTTTCAACCTGGAAACTTATGTCCTTCAGTTCTCAAAGATTTTCTTGAATCATTTTATGGATGATATCATCCTCTCAGCTATTTCCTTGGTGGCATTTACTTTTCCAAATACAGTTGGAAAGGTCTGATTATAGACACTGTAGTTTGGCTAACCCAATGCCCACTCCCAACTTTCTTCTTCTATGGACTCCACATTTGGAATCAGAAGAGCTAAATAGTTGCTTTCCCAGGTACCCTTGGAGCTAGAAGTGGCCATGTGACAGAGTTCTGGCCAATGTGATGTTACCAAAAGTCTGTAGGAAGAGTCTGGAAAATCTTGAGCATTCCTAACATCAAGGCACAGACAATGCTAGCATGGTCCTTTCTTCCTTCTCCCTAACTGGAATATGAATTCATATGGATGAATAGATGAATATGGAGCTATAAATAGTTATCTTGAACTCATAATGAAATGCCAAAACAATTATAGATGTTATCCATAATATTTCTTTTACCAGCCAATGAACCAATTCCAGATGTATGTCTCCTGAATTTTTGTTACAGGAGAAAAATTAATCTCTATTTTTTAAGTCTCTTTTAGTTTTTCTGTTACATGCAGCCAAATTTATTCATGATAGATTCCTGCTGACTGTAGATATGTGATAAATATTTGTCTGGATGAATTTTATAGAAAGCATGAGAGACGTGAGCCTATGGATGTCAGATGTAAAAATCTCTCCTCTCCAAGGGACAAAACTGAAAAAAAAAAAGGAAAGCACTCATGTCTCTCTTGGTGTCTTTAGAACATTGTAGAAAAAGGTTAGGAAGACCAGGAGGAACTTTTCTTCAAAGTAGGCAGAGACGGGCATCTGGGTGGGTTATTAGGTTAAGCATGTGAGATCAGCTCAGGTCATAATCTCACATATATGAATTTGAGCCCCGCTTCAGGTGAGCTGGAGCCGTACTTCCAGTGAGCCGCCCTCCTCTCTCCCCTCTCTCTCTCCCCCACCCTTTGCTCACTTGTGCCCTCTCCCTCTCTCTCTCAAAAAAAGGAGGGGCAGAGAAAGATACCAGAGGAGTTTGGGGAGAATGATGAGAGCTCAATGTCATGGCAGGGAAAGAGCATGTAAAACCCCACTGCACACAAAACCAAATTTTCTCTCACAGGCTTAGAGAGCCACAGTATTTGGGTAATAGGGATGGCATTTATTAAGCATCAAGAGAGGAAAAAGACCTAAAAAGTATGGCAGAACATCACTTTATCTAAAATACATTCATATTCATTTGTGCTTCTTGACTGTTATATGTGTTGAACCAAAATAATAATTACTCTGTAATCTGTGCTCCCAAGGTAGGCCATCCAGTATTTTAACAGAGAGAAAAAGAATGGCAGAAAAAGTAAAGCTTATTTCATTCTAAAAACCAGACATTGAAGTCTTCGAGAAACAAATGCTTTTCAGCATGATTGTAATTGTATGTTTCCATTACCTAAGAAACCAAAGAGCTAAAGCAAGATAAAATGGGATTTAAAAGATATGTATGTGCCCAGAAACATTCCATTTGGCTATGAAATTGATTTCCTGCTGACAAGTCAGGTAGGGTCAGAGAAAGAGGGGCCATCATCTACGAAAGGATTCTCCTGTACCTTTAGGGACTAGAGTTTTTTCCCCCACTGGAGACAGACCATTTCTCAGAAATGAGTCTTCAGAAGTTGGCTTTACTGTGGTTTGACAGCTCTGACCACAGTTTTTACCACAGCTATTTCTATTTTTAAAGCTGCTTTCCAGTAACTGTGAGCAGACCTCAAAGTTGGCAGCTGTCCAGAAGGTTTTTGACCACAGAGTCCCTTCTGCTGAGGCCCAGGGCCTGCTCCATAAGGAGATGGAAGGCAGGGGGTGGATAAAAGAGGGGGACAAAGGATGGCAAGTGACATTGTAGGGACTGAGGCGGTGGCTACCTTGTGAGCTCAGGGCAGCTGGGTGACCTGGTGCAGCATGGGGCTTGCCAGCATCTACACTGCCTGCAGCTGGCACTCAGAAACAGTTCTGCTCTCCACCTGTGTCCCAGCACACCTCCCTCATGGGCACTAAACAGATGAGTTTGTCAGCCTGGCTCCTCTGATGAAGAAATACCTTCCTTCATAGGGGTCACGTAACCCTCCCAGGCTACTGTTTCAGAGGGTGCCCTTGTGGTGAGGCTGAGTGATGACTTACCCTAGAAGCTCTGTATATGCGGAAGCAGGAACGTTGCCTTACCTCTAGACTCACTGAATTGGTCTTCTGGGGATGCAGGTCGTCAGTTTGCCCCATCTCTGCTCCCAGAGGAGAGAATAGGGAGTTCAGAGGTACACACATCCCATGACTGCCAGTGTGGTTCCTCTGGCTTCTTCTGTTGAATAGAATTGAAATTCTCTCTCAGTCTTTGCTCTTTACTTGTTAAAGCTTGTTTTTCGACTACTTATGCATTTAACTTTATGGACAATTAGGTCTGTGCGATTTTTTACAACTTGGTCCTTTTTATACTTGAAGTTTTCAAACTCCCAACCTAAATCACAACTTATCTTTAAAGTATATTTAAAATAATAGAAGGATATATAAGTAGTTTATACTACTTCAACTCCATGTAGCCATTTTACTACAATTATGATTCTACAGCTCCTGGATAGAAACTGGCACAGCCACTTTTCATTTTTTTATTTTTAGATTTCTATTATGGACAATTCCAAAAATAAAAATTTAGAGGAAATGACATAATATATCCTCACATACCTAATACCTCCCTTATATCCTATCTCTTCACATAAGCAAATCCTAGCCTCTCTATACAAGCTCCTGAGTTCTTTGACATGAATATGCTATAGTGGTCTTCACATGTGCTTTCTTCTATGACAAGAGGTCCCAAGTTCATCCTGTACTCTTGCTGTCCCAATGGACTCAGCCACTTCCTTTAAATATATAGTATTTAAGAGTGCCTGAGTGGCTCAGTCAGTTAAGCATCTGACTTCAGCTCAGGTCATGATCTCGCAGTTTGTGAGTTCGAACCCCATGTCAGGCTCTGTGCTGACAGATCAGAGCCTGGAGCCTGCTTTGGATTCTGTGTCTGCCTCTCTGTCTGCTCCTGCCCTGCTCATGCTCTGTCTCTCTCAAAAAGAAACAAACATTAAAAATTTTAGATAGATAGATAGTATTTAGAGACCCCAATCTGGGTTCTCAGGTTGCTATTGCTACTTTGGCATTCTTTTCAGGCTCTTTTAAACATGTGGTCTCGCATAACTACACTAGGCCACACTTGGCATTGACCTCGCCTAAAATAAGAATTAAAGGACAGGAAACACAACATACCAGCCAGGCAGTGGCAGGAATCTCTCTAGGCACCACACTCTCTGCCCCCATTGGAGGAGGTCATTGAGAGAGGGTGGACTGCTTATTGAGCCATGCGCTAGACTGGGGAAATTAGAGGCTCCTCACCACCACTCACCTCTTACATCCCTTTCCCCCATTCCCCTGCCTCACCCCAGTCCTTGGGATGTGCACTCTCCTACCTTTCCCACAAAGGAAGCTATTCCAAGGATGTAGCCTTGAGAGTGCAAGGTGTTATGGAGACCATCTGGACTGTGCATATAACTGAACCCAATTAAGGCCACTGTATAAACTTTTCTGCCAGACAGAGATGTGCTCATCTTGCAGCCACACAAGACAGGCCTCACAAGTAAGTTCCCTTGCTTATTAAACTTGCCCCCTACTGACCGGGAGTGATCTGCCTCTTTCTTCAGTATCTCCTGGCACTCCATGTACAGGAGCCAGTTTGCAAACCAACGCCCCCGCCCCCATTCCCACCATAGGTTGACAGCTAAAATGCAGGATGCCCAGTTAAACCTCATTTTCAGATAAACAATGAATAAAAACCTCCTGTCCCAACTGGGAGCCAATATCCCTAGTAACAGTGTTATGGGACTCGTTTGCTTCCATGACCCTATGGTGGACATGTCCAGTTCCAAGTCATAATTCTCAGGGAACTCCCAAACCATAGCTTCCTGTCACGTCTTTCTAATTCACTCACTCTCCTCACTGCCCAGATACACTGGGCCAGTTTTACCACAAGCAATGTTGCCTAGTAACACAGCCGACATCCCACTCTTAGCAGATTCCCAGGAGAACAGAGCTACAGAAAGTAAACTCCATGGAGAATGAGAAATAACTTTAAGATTTTATTAAGTAACCTCTACACTTAACGTGGTCCTCGAACTTACAACCCCAAGATCAAGAGTTGCATGCTGTACCAACAGAGCCAGCCAGGTTCCCTAAGAAATATTTTTTTAGCCCTTTATATATACAGTGTAGGACAATATACAGATAGACAGATAATAGATGACAGATGACAGATAGTGTAAAGACTCAGTTTTCCCCCTATGGAGAGAAAACCCAGTTCTTCCTTACTATATCTTTCTCTCCTTGAGTCTTCATTACTACTCACACCAAACACTTCACTCCTGACACTTCCGCATACCATGCAATTCTCTGCAACACAAACTGGGTGTCACACAATTCAACTCAATTCTGACACGATCTACTTGATGACAGTGTCAGATCCCACAGGTAAGGGCTCCATCCCATAAGATTGTCTTCCCATCCCATACACACACACATACACACACACACTTCAATGCCAGTCACAAGACCAAGTTGGTTATCACCTCCTGACCAACCTATAAATGGGCTGGTTCCAATAAGATCAGAGGTTCGAATGACCCCCTATTTGGATTCGATTCATGTGCTGCACCATCTCAGAGAAACATTTTACTTACTAGATTACTGGTTTATCATGAAAGAATGTAACTCAGGCACTGCCAGATGGAAGAGACACTAATGCTGTACTGGAGAAGGGGTGGGGAGCTTCTGTGTCCTCTTGGAATGCTCCTTCCCTCCACCTCTCCACATAGTGGAGATCCCCATTCTTTTGGGGTTTAATGGAGGCTTCCTTACATAGGCACAATTGATTAAATCACTGGTCACTGGCGATTAATTCAATATCCAGCCTCTCTCCCCTCTCCTGAGGTCAGGGGGGTGGGCCTGAAAGTTCTAACCCCCTTATCACATGGTTGGTTCCCCCGGGTCCCATCCTTTGGTCTTCATGACTTATGGGGGTCCAAAAGTCATCCCTTTAACATAACATGACATTAAAAGACACCTTTAACCCTCTCATCGCTTAGGAAATCTCAAGAGCTCTAGAAGCTCTTTGCCAGAAATGGGGACAAAGACCCAATAGCTATTTCTTATAAAACACAGCATCAAAGAGAGACAGCAAGAGAGATAATGCATAAATAGAGATTGATATGGATAAAGATGGATAAATAAAACACATTATGGGTTTATAGTGATACTTCCAATTTCAACACAGGATTATAAGTCTGTTATTTAACTATATTGATGTTTATTTCTACCTTCTTTCTCTCATGCTCTGTTATTTTCAAGAAAAGTCGAAAATCGAGATTTTTTATGTGAAATTTTCTGATTTCTTCCCAAGTCTTACAAATGTGTTTGGAAGTTGTATCCAAACCTCTCTGTAAAAACAGAAAATTAAGGGAATTGACCTAACTGAAGATTTGACTCAGGAAACCCGTGAGGGTGTGTCCAAGTTCATGGCCGCTTCCACAACCAGAAGCACACCTGTGGCTTAGGAAGGACAATTCTCCCACCAGCCTACGCACCATTCAATTCCCAGTGGCTTAAGAGGACACTCCTGGAGCTACAGCCTGATGCTACTTCACTTTTCCTCCCTCATTTTTAAAAAGGAGAGAACAGAAAGAGTAGCCAAGATGGCAGAACAGCATGGAAGTCTTTTTTCTGTCTCGCTACATGAAATGCAGCCAGATCAACATTAAACCATCCTGCACACTTAGAAAACAGATTTGAGGATTAACAAAATAATTTGCACAACCTGAACCACAGACTCAGCCAGTACATGGCACAGAGAGGTGAACTGGGGGAGAGAGGAGCTATGGAAGGCAGGGAGCTTTTTCTGCTTGCTGAGAGGAGGTGGAGGGGGTGGTGGTGAATATGGGAAAAGCACCCCCCACAAAAGGAGATGGAGAGAAAGTGGAAAAAGTGGAAATAGCCTCAGGGACTGAACTAAAAAGGGAGAAAGGAGAGGGTTTAAATTCTATTTAAGACTCTATAAACAAGGGAAGCACAGAGTTTGAAACTCCACAGCTCAAATACCTAGTGGTGCTCTGGTGGGAAGGGCAAATTCCCAGGAGAAGAGTGGGTCCAGGAGGTCATCGGACCACGCATGATTTTCCATAATCTTGGAAATGCTGCTGCTACATGAACGCGTGAACTTTTTCTGGAATGGTCTGGCACCCAGCCACAAGTCTCTGGACATCAGCAGCGGCAAGATCCCATGAACTTTCCTTGGTGCAGCCAGCACCTGGCCATTGCTTGGTGAGACCGTCCTCCAGAGGATCTGAGTGGGTCAAAACCACAGTCCCTCAGAAGTGAGGGGTCGGGAAACACAGATGCATCTCAGATAAAATTCAGGAGGGAGGTGCCACCTGGCAACCTGACAGCATGGTCATGGACAGTGTAAAGGCAGGGAGTGGACCGAAACCAGACACAAAGGACAAGTGTGTGATTCCTGGTCAGAGAGACCACAGAGTACTGATACTAGACTGGGTGATGACATTTTCACCCCACCTGGGCATGTCCATACACACCTACAGGTCCCACAACAATCCACCCCAGTAAGCTAAGCATCGCCATCTAGTGGAGAACAGAGCTGTTACACTAAGCCCCACCAACTGGGTTTGACATCTAGGGGAAAACGATGTAATATCAATCCTTTTTCAGTCTGTTCACTGGCCCATCTATTCAATTTTTGTTTTTCTTTCTTTTTCTTTCTTTTTCGTTTCTTTTATTTTATTTGAATACGGAAAGATTTAAAAAATATTTTTATTTACAATTTTATTAAAAATATTCTTTATTTTTTGACAAACTTTTTTACTTTTTTAAATAAATTTTTCAAATTCTATTTTACTTACATCATTTCAAGTTATTCTAATTCATCATATTCTTTTTAATTTTCAAAAATTTTTCCTTTCTTTCCCCCTCTTTTTTTTTCTAATCAATCAAGCTCCTTTCAATAACCAGACCAAAACATAGGTAGGATCTAGCATAACTTATTTGATTGTGTGTGTGTGTATATGTGTGTGTGTGTGTGTATGTGTGTGTGTGTGTGTGTGTGTTGTGTTGTTTTTAATTCTTTAATTTTAATTTTTCCCACGTTTTCTCTAGTCAATCAAGCACCTTTCAGTAACCAGACCAAAACACACCTAGGATCTAGCATCACTTATTTGATTTTCTGTGTGTGTGTTGTTTTCAGTTTTTTAATTT